TAATATAATCTCCTTCCATTGTTCTGGTTTAAGACATCAGACAGTAGGATGTGGTGTAATTCTCAGGCCTTTTAATGAGAATCTGATTATGCCACACATTTTTATTTTAAGTCCTAGTGAAAAATGTTCTGTTGTGTAGTGTGGTGGTGGCTTGAGAGGGACAAGCTGGCCTTTGTGTGCCCGTCTGGAACGTAGTGAACCGGCAATCTGTCTGGGCTCAGTGAGGCGTTTTCCATGGGAAGGCAGAGCTGCAGTACAGTGGGAGGGGCTATGGAATACACAGCCAATCAGTGCTTGTTTACACTGTGGGTGAATCATGTGAACACGCCCTCAAACACACACACACACACACATGTTTACGTTTGTTTCAGTGGGACTTTCCACTGACTCCCTGACTGACCTCTTTTGAACAAAACAAACAACAGGCAAAGTTTGTTTGTTTAGTTAGTTTTAGTTTTGTTTGAAGTTTGTCTCGTCTAAGTACAGATCTCTGCGTAGATGTGTGATGTTCTCGGCCCCGTTTCCGTGGTCAGGTGTCACCCGGGAGAAGCCATGCTGACCGGACCGGATCTGCACGCTGCCTTTCGAAGTGGCACCGTCACCTCATTTGAGCCCGGTGCTAATTGCTTCATGGCTGCAGCCCCGGCCCACGCGTCGACTGCTGGGCAGGAGCCCAGGAGGGAGGGGGTGGAGAGGCTGGCATCAGGATGGTCAGATGGTGCTGAAACTCAGGGGGCGAATTAAATGTGAATGGCATTAAATGTGGTTAAAAGGTAGGGCCAGGAAAATATGGAGATGAAGTGTGTCTTGGCATTAGAAAAAGCTCTACAGCGACCACAGGTGGAGTTTAAGTATCTTTCAGAATCACAAGGAGGCCAACTAAGATAACAACTAGATGAATTGTGTGGTGTTAGGGCCCTGTGTGGTGTTAGGGCCCTGGGGAATACAGACAGCTCAGATGGAGGTGGAGAGAATGATGAGGGCATGGCGCTTTGGCTCCTCGTGAAGTTAGCAGACAGCTGGAAGCAAGAGAGCGTAAAAGAGCACATTGAGTGAGGGATAGTGAAGCTGGTGCCTGGAGCCAAGTGTGGAAGGTGACAGGGCTGGAGCTCCCCTGCTCCCCGACACCGCTCAGCCCTCCACCGTCCCCAAAACAGCCCCGTGAGAGGAAATTTAGTCTCAGGGCAGATTCGCTGCCGTTAATTTCACCCAAACGAGTCACCGACTCGCCACAGTCCTGCTGCATGGCCACTGTTACTGGAGACTGATGTGTTGGCTGTAGTATGAGTACAGTAGGTCTCAGGCTAGCTTGTGCCACCCTGCAACTTAGGGGGGAGTACCCTGGGAGGGGGGAGTACCCTTGGAGGGGGGAGTACCCTGGGCTGCATGCTTAACAGCCTTAACTGCTGGCATTTGTGTTTGACACTTCTCTCCAAATCGACATAAACCTGAGGCAGATATTACATCACAGGCATACAGCTGTGCAGGATCCACCTTGGTGTAAGAGCAGCTAGGGTGAACTTCCCGGCAGGGATCGGGAGCAAAGGCGAGTTCACACCAGGCCAAGAGCTAGACGATGTTATGAAACATCATGAAAAGTTACCGGGAGAGCTGCTGAAATCGCACTCGTCTCATCAGCGCTATTGGAAGTGTCTGCGGAAACCGACCTTGGCACCGGGACATGTTCTGCACTTAACCCGTTTGGATGTCGCCTTGCCCCTGGTCGGCCCCTTCCGCTTGGCGAGCAGGCAGTGATGTTCTTGGCCATTGTCCAACCAGACAATGAAGTCTATTTATTGGCATGAACAGGAAAAGAAGAATTCAGGTTGTCCGTCTGTGACCTGTTCATGCTCATCGCCAAACAGAGATCAAAGTTTTCCTTCCTTGGGAATGGCACGCGGTTACAGCAGAATGTAACGCTGACTGGATAGTCATCTGGCGGCAGCCTGCAGCTCATACCGCGTGTGACACGTAACGCTTCTTCTTCAGAGCTGTTATGTGCTGTAACCGTGAAAGCGTTTGGCTTCTCTCACACCTCCCGGCTGTTTTGTTTCCCCGCAGCTGTGCCGCCCGTCACACTTATTTGCAAAAAGTGTATCCGGATCAGATTATGAAGACAGATTATGGATCAGATTATGAAGATTCATACACGCAGGTGATGCCGTGACATCATTGCTCTACGAGGCATGCTGTCACACTCTGTTGCTTGGTTACAGGGACGTACAGCCATGGGTACTTCTGTTCATGATGCACGCACACACACACACACACACGCACAGTGACTCCTCACTCCACCCTCCCCAAATCCTGCTCCCTTTAGCTCTCCTGGCTTCCATTCCAGGCTAGACTAACCCTAACCCTAACCCTAACCCTCCCTCTCAAAATTAACAACTCGCCACAGTGAAACAGAAACTGCCACCACAGATAAGTCTCAATTTAGCAGGCATATGCTCCTCCTTACTGCACAAATGGCCTTTAATTGTTATTTTTTTACATCCCTGCGTTGCCCCTGGCCGACGGCGTAGACGATTAATTAGGTCCTATTAGCAGAGCGAGTTGATATTATTTTTTAGATGTAAAATAGATGGATGGTGGAATATTTAAACAGATTGAGTTATGACTCTTGACCTATCTAACTTAGTCGGTTAAACTGAGCCCAGAGTGTAGGGGGGTGGGGGGGCAGCTTCGCATGGAAGCTGATAGCGGGGATGTATGGGTTGGCCCGTCACGGTTCACTTGCTGGCTGTGTTTTCCCCCGTTCTGTTCTCTCTGTCTAAACCCCCCCCCCCCCGCCCCACCCCAGACACCTTCGCATCACAGCTGTGGGGTCGTGAATTCAGCTTCCTGGAAAGGCACGAATGCACCCGCATTCTCACACACTCACATTCACCACCAACTTTTAAAACCTTTCGTCAAACCGTCTGCAGTCGCCGTCTCTCTCCAGTCCAGCACCAGTCCAGTCCCAGGCACTGGAACCCCTTCCCAGCCCAGTGTACATCCATGCCCCAGATGGCCTTGGTTAGCCGTCTCACTAACCTCTTCGCTAACGGTCTTCCCAGCGGACCTTGTGGATGTTTCACTTTCTCCGTAGAGCAGCGACTGTGAGTTTGCAGCGGAGAACACTGCGGTCATGGCAACGTCTTTACAATGAAGAGCTTTTGAGGCGTTTGTGTGCTTCAGCATCTGTGGCCTGGATAGTGGCTGTTCCTCAGACTGGTCTGTCACCATCGGGCAGCATTTTCTAATTTTCTGGGTATTTTATGCCTCCGGTTTTCAAAATGAAACATTCTTTGAATTTTGAGAGGGAGGGTTTCAAAATGTTCTATTGAACACACTTCTCTAAGGTAGATGGGGGGGAGGGGGATGTTCAGTCCGTCCTCACGTGCACAGTCGGCATCTGTGAAAGCGGTCACACTCCCAGAATCGCCCATCTGTGTTTTCACGCAGCAGAAACACGGATAACCACGGTCGGCAGACAGCCATTATTGGCAGCCTCTGATTAAATCGACCGTTTAACGCGCACACGCGTGCACCCCTCCCCCCTGGGCCCGTCGATCTCCCCCGGAATGCGGCTTCACCCGGCGGCGTTGCCATGGCAGGAGCGCGTTCCCACGAGAGAGCCGCACAAGCTCCGCCGTGCTCCGGTGTTTACGTTTACGCTTGTTTGTTTGGCGGGCGGGAGGGGCTCCCCCACTGAGCGATTCGCGCCGCAACACAAACAGCGTGTGCTGCAAATAGCAGACAAGGAGCAGTGACACGGGGGGAGGGGGGGTATCCAGGGCAAGCAGCACCGGGCGTGTTAGACGTGAAAGTATTATATATTATTAAAGGCCAAGCACCAATAAACTGTGGGCTTACACTCAAATTGTACAGTATATGTTAATAATTCATACTGGGACTGTGTCTGGCTCAGGGGGTTAGAATGCTCTGCCTGTGATTGGAAGGTTGCTGGTTCAAATCCCAGGATCAGCAGAATGATGTTGCCATTAAATCCCTGACCAAGGCCCTTAATCCTCAAATGCTCCAGGAACTAACCCTGCTTTTTCATGAAGTACATAGCTAATGGTAAAAGTGTCTGCTAAATTAATGCAGTGTGGTGCAGTGGTGTCAGATGCAGTGGTGTGGAGTACAGAGGATACATTGCTTAGCACTGTAAGCTTAGGCCCTCAGTGTTGGGGGTTAGAAGGTGTCGTATTCTTGCCAGGTTGTGTAGGGTTTCTCCCGCAGTCCAGAAACACTAAATTCACATTAAACTGGCCCGAATGTGAGTGTTTAACTGTGATGGACTGGCATCCCGCTGCCTCAGGCTCTGTGAATCCTGGGAGGGACTCCAGCCTCACCTTGACCCTGATGGAAGGGTGGACTTGGCTGATGCGTTTATCTTAAGGCAAAATGTTGCAGAGAGATCTACTGACCTGGCCCAGACACCATCTGCATTGACCAGGAGAAGATCGAGGATAGTGTGCAGTTTGTGTCCGTAACTTTCTGAAAGTGAGAAACGAAAGTTTGTCATTTTTGGAGAAAATGCCTTGTGTTTCATGACCTTAAGGAATGGGGTCTCACTGACTGCGCTGAATGGGGTCTCACTGACTGCGCTGAATGGGGTCTCACTGACTGCGCTCAATGGGGTCTCACTGACTGTTTCACGGTTTGAAGCCGGTCGAGGGCAACATGAAGATGTGGATTATTTGTTCTGGATTGTTCTAGCTTTGTGGTGGGTTTTTTTTCCCTACATGTCTGGCCTAGATAAATGGTTATGTGCTTGAGAAGGTCAGATAAGACAAAACACCCTTGCCGTATGTTTTCAAACATTTTGTTGCTGTGGCTCTCAAAGGTCTGTGGACCTGGTGCTTCTGGTGGCATTTGTCCGGTTTTCTTGGTACTCTGTGTATTTCTTGACAGATCAATTAGGTTCTAGTGTTCACAGTGTTACTATTGGCTGCTTGGCGATTTGCTATGGTTCTTCAGCGTGATCCTGAATCTTTTTCCTCTTCCGGCAGGCGGATCGGAGCACCGATGGAAATGTCCTCAGCATCCCAGTGCCAATACGGCGGGGGGGTTCAGAGACTAACCTGGACCTGGACTCCACCGATGGGACGGGCCTGGGGCTGGACTTTCACAAAGGCCGTCTGGACATTGACAACCTGCAGCAGAAGATCCTGAAGGTGACGGAGCAGATCAAGATCGAACAGACGGCCCGCGAGGACAATGTGGCCGAGTATCTGAAGCTGATCGGCAATGCCGACAAGCAGCAGCTGTCGCGCATCAAGCAGGTCTTCGAAAAGAAGAACCAGAAGTCTGCGCAGACCATTGCTCAGCTGCAGAAGAAGCTGGAACAGTACCACAAAAAGATGAGGGACAATGAGGTGAATGGCTCCTCCAAGCATAGTGCATCCAAGGAGTCGTCCAAAGAAACGTCTAAGGAACCGAAGGAGATCTTCAAGGACAGCTTGAAGGACAGTCTGAAGGATGTGAGTGGCAGTGGGAGACACCCTTCTGTGGATAAGGTGAAGACCATTGGCCCCGGCGTCTCGCTCTCCCCACCCTTCTTCTTCAACAAGTCGCGGGAATTCGCCAACCTGATCCGCAACAAGTTCGGCAGTGCGGACAACATCGCTCACCTCAAGAGCACCATGGACACCTCACCCTCCTTTCACCAGGAAGTCAGCGGGCGTTCTCTGAGTGGCAGCGCCACCATCGTGGCCAAGCCCAAGTACCCCAGCGACGACGAGTGCTCCTCGGGCACGTCTGTGTCCGCTGACAGCAACGGAAACCCAACCCCTGGCCCGGATGACTCTGGATCACTTGAGGCCCAGAGCAAGCTGACTCTGATCCTAGAGGATGTGAGGGATATCCGTGATGCTCAGAACAACCTAGGCAAAGGCATGGAGAGCCTGAAGGAGCAGTTTAAGAGAGACTATGACTATGTCGTGCAGACACTGCAGGAGGAGCGATACAGGTGAGGTGATCTCTTGTTTATGACCTTGGAAACAAGCTATTGATCTTGCATGATTTCCCATTTGTACGCGTAGAAGCAAAATGTCCTCATCTTAACAAGCTGGTGAAAGGAATGATAATGAATCTCTTTTAGGATCTGGGTAGGACTCATTCACATTCTTATTCACATCACTCACTGCATTCCATCTGGATTGATTCATCTCTCAAGTGTTTAATAAGGTTTTTACACATCAGCAGTCTCTTCAGCGACCAGCTCTTCTTAAACGTGCTCGTGGACACACAGAGATACCCCGAAGCCTGTTTCGGCGCGCTTTCTGTAGCGTGTCATGTTCTTCCAGTTTCCATATGTTGGGACATGATTGGTTCTGACGTGTTGCCATGGTGAATGGCGGCCAACCAGAATCCCACTGTGGGTTCACTGAGGTTGGGTATTTCACTTGGCCTGAAGTAAAATTTGTCCTGAAGGTTGCGATTATGTGGGACTAAAAGCTTTACATTTATCAGCATCAGTGTTGTGGATAATTAGATGTTTTGCTGAAGTTCTCATCAGCTGGTCCAGGAGGCCTTTTATGGCAGATGGAAGTAACTTAGATATGATGAATGACTTGATTGCTGTACAAATTCAGCTCCTGCGTAGGACAGTGAAAGAACACACGTCATACTCTATAAATCTGCACTTCTGAGCTGAATTTTGTTCCGAACAGCCTGATGATGAGTCTTGATTTTGGCAGGGTTCAGGAGGAAGGTGATTCAGGTTGACCTGGTTGACCTGGCAAGACCCAGAGACGTCGTGAGTCCAGGCCAGGCAGAAAGCACTAGAGAAATGGAGCGTGGGTGTGAAAAATGACCTAGATGGCTAAAGGGCACTGGGAAGTCTGCTCTTGGATGATGGCAATAATGGACCCATAAGATTCATGTCTCTTCATCCATCTCTCCCTCCCAGGTTTGAGAGGCTGGAGTGCCAGCTGAATGACCTGACTGAACTCCACCAGCACGAAACCAGCAACCTGAAGCAGGAGCTGGCTAGCATCGAGGAGAAGGTGGCTTACCAGGCCTACGAGAGGGCGAGGGACATCCAGGTACCTCCACGGTCAAGGCTGGGTCCTTCACCGTTCAGCCGTTTCAAATTCAGCGAAGCAGAAAATTGCTTCCCGTCCCACCAAAACATGATGAGTTTTTAGTAAATCAATAAACAATAAAGCCGTGTTTCCCAACCCGGTTCTCGGGGACCCACGGACAGTCCACGTTTTTGCTCCCTCCCAGCTCCTTAGACCAAAAATTTGGACTGTCTGTGGGTCTCCGAGGATCGGATTGGGAAACACTGCAATAAGAAGTTTGAAAAATGCAGGACACATTTAGAACAGAACGTACAAGCAGTTCTTCCTGTTCAGCGCTACTTCCCTCTCTTGTCTCTCTTCCCCTTTGTCACTCTCTCTCTCTCTCTCCCCCTCCCTCTCCCCCCTCCCTTTGTCCCTTCCTCACTTTTTCCTTTCCTCCCTGCCCTTCGGTACATCTCTGACTTCTGGAATGAACTGACCACCCTCTCCATCTGCCCACCAGGAGGTGCTGGAGTCCTGCCAGACACGCATCTCCAAGCTGGAGCTGCAACAGCAGCAGCAGCAGCAGACGGTGCAGCTGGAGAACGCGGACGCCAAGGTGCTGCTGGGGAAATGCATCAACATCATGCTGGCGCTGGTTACCATGGTGCTGGTGTGCGTCTCCACCGTGGCCAAGTTCACGGCCCCCCTGACACGCAGCCGGCTGCACCTCGTGGGCACCTTCTTCGCTGTGTCGCTGCTGGCGCTCTTTTGGAAGAACTGGGAGCACTTGCAGTGTGCCTTCGAGCGCATGCTGCTGCCCAGCTGATCGGAGGGGCGGAGCCACCTGGGGGAATGTCAGGGGATTGGCCGAGAAACCATCTCCCATATCGTGGGGATTGGTCAAGATTTTTTTCTCATTTCCTTCACTCGAACCTTGGTCTCCTTCCCCAGAAAGATCCATAGTCTCTTTGGAATTCTTTGGGCTTGTGCACCCAGCAGAACATTCCGTGGTTTGCAGGATGAAAAACTAGTGATGCTCTTGTGTTTAGACGTTGACTGTTCATTCGTTGGATGGGAAGACTGGACTTTTCACCTCACTGTACCTGTGTGTGTAACATATGTCTCTCAGCCTGTCTTGCCATACTCACTTGTGTAGATTTCACTGTGCAGCAAACTCATCAATTTTAATTTTTCAGATCATACACTGTTGTATTGGATTAAGAAGTGCAATATTTGTGTTTGAGTGGCAATGGTATAACGTGTGTGCGCATATGACAGTTACTTAACGTGATTAAGAACCATGGCGGAGAATCCTGCCAGGGTCACATCAGCTCTGTATAAGAACTACATTCCCCAAGAAACGAGGAATACATTTCCACACACTGCAGCAGATGAGCACCACTGCAGCAAATGTGCACTCATTGCTTTTGTTGGAAGGAAAATGAACATTGGCCACTACTGGAGTGTAACAGAGGTTTTCAAAGGAATTGAAGATGGTTGACTTTCTGTGAGGGGGGTTAAAGGTCGTTGACTTTTTGTGAGGGGGTTAAAGGTCGTTGACTTTTTGTGGGCGGTGGCTGTATGGCCTGGATCCTGTGGATTTAATTTGATACCCTTATATTTTATAGGTTAACAAATTAGTTGTGTTCCTAGAAGTTCGCACTGTTCTTAGACACAACTGAATCCTACATTTTTTGTTCTGCAATGTTTCCTTCCTCACCTGTGGGTGGAAAACTTTTAACAGCTAGCTTTAGAACCTCAGTGACTTGGTGGCATTACACTGTGTTTCCATAGGAGGGCGCCACTGAGGTGGTCACAGCTGCTGTCGGTACCTAGGGCTCTGGTGGGGTGTCAAGGCTGACCAAACTGTCAGTTGGGGTTTAGAATGGTTTAGAGATTCGTCATCAATTTGTACATAAAAAAAAATTTCAAGTTGAACATTAAAAGTTAAACACATTGATGCTGTTTTCAGTATCTATTGTGGATATTCTGAGAATGTGGATTTGTTCCAGATTTTGGAAAACCAGTTCAGATGTATATTTTTGGAAATGTTTGTTTAGAGACTGAGCAGGACAGTGAGTCTGTGTATATTTAAATAGACTTTGACCCGTATGATGGAGGCCTTTGAATGTCACCAAGGTCGCAGCTGTAACGTTACCGTGACGTCAGTTTCAGAGGATGGAAACACACTAAATAAGTACACTAACTCTATTGAATTTACTGCCTATTCTTGTTGTCGAGTCCATCAGCCGCAGTAAATACCAAACCGAATCTATTTTTATAGGCATGATCCTCACGGCGTTTGAAGCTACGAATTGCGTGGCCTTATTGAGGCGCTGCGCCGTCACTTGGCTTCTGTCGCATGCTGCTCGCACTCAGCTGGCTGTCCTGCGCAGGATCCACCCGCCGGCAGTGATGAAGCTTATGAGCATGCACACTTGTCCGTCGGGGTTAAAATGAAGACATAAAATCGCAGCTGAAAGGGAAGCGGTGGTTTGCGTGGTTGGTATTCCAGTCGTGCTTCATGCTGCCACCAGATTAACTTCGCTCCTGCTTCTCTGCCTACTTTATCTTCAGTGTTTTAGGTCTTTATCCCGCGTCTCTTAAAGCGGAGAAAAGAGAAACTCACCTGCATCCTGTAGGGACAGCAGCTTAATGCATTGAGGAAATTATTGTGAGTTTCAGTCGCCTTGTCCCTACAGTTTGTCATTTGTTTAATTCCCCCAAAGCCAAAAGCTGTGAATACTGTGCCCCCCCGGTGGCTGAGTGCACACCCCCCCTCCCCATTCCACATGCTCACCTCCATGTCGCATCACTGTGACCTCTTGCTCTTACTTGGCTCAAAGCATTGTGGGATATTTCAGGTCAGCGACAGACCGGTCCTTAACAAGCGCCGTTCCCACTGTGCTGGGTCTCCACAACACCATGGAGGTCCATTGATAGTGTTCTCCATTGATGGGCAGACTGGTCTGTCCTGGCCGGACTGGTAATCTGTGACATCAATAGCCACAGCTTTGATTTAGCAACCTTGTGATGGTGTATGACAGTAACAGCATATAAACATTAGAGGAGGACTTTACACAGACTTGGGTTCACTTTTTACACCCTATGGTTTCTTCTTTTGTAATGTATTTTTTATGGTAGACATTTGGGTCATGTTTGGTGTGGCCCACTTAATATCGTTCTATGGTAATTTATCACCTGATCTTCTGGAAAATACTTTGTATGACACTGGAGAACCACTTGGTCGGTTTCTGAAATACTTTTTTAATAAATAAAATCTCTTTGTTTTTTAAGCTTTGCTTTTCCCCCCCTTTCCATCATATGACACTGACATTGTTGCCCGGGGACCTTGAACTGTTCCATAGGCATAATTTGTGACTTCTGGCCCCTCTAATGGTGCCCCCTGAGAAATGCGTAATTTACTCCGTCCACTGAAAAAACGTGAATAGATTCTAGTGGTCCTGTCCTTCAAATGCCTGGGCTGCCCTGGCTTGTCTGATCATTAGCGTTGCCTTGACAAGTTAAAGGCATCTTAGGTATTTCCCAACATCAAGAAATGTCATGTGTGATACATTGGTGAAGAACTATAATTAGTTTTACGTTTACACACAAAGTGAGAACACAGATAATACATTTTATTTTCATTTAGCATCATATTGAGTTTTTCTCTAGAAAACTTGTAGTCGGTGTGGCCGAAACAAATTATCACCATTTATAACTTGAACGAAATCGTCAAGTTATTATGCTGAATTATAGTGCGTGTATCGCTTCACTCTTTCGAAAATCTTTATTTTGTCGCCCCCTGGTGGATTTAAGTGGGTGCTGCGGCACTGTCGGAACAACTTTGCTGCGGTCTCACTTAGACTCAATGTCCCATCCTTAAATCTCAGTATAAATTTGATAAATGGGCAGAGCAGTTGACAGCATGCAGTAATATATTCGGAATGTATTTTAAAAGTTTGAAAAATTCTGCCTGCCTCGCTTGCACGACACTTTGAACAAAAGCGCCCGCAGAATATGAATAAATGTAAACGTATTAATCCATCTGTTGTACTGTATGCAAATTGCAGGCAAATGCTTAATCGCTTATAAATGATCACACTCAGAACTTTGATCCACTTATGCTGAGTATGGGTTAATATTAGCAATATTTTTCTGACCTGTTGAAGTATCACTGACTACTTTGAATTATCCACAGAACAGACTGGCTGTTGATTTAGAAATTCCCTCTTTACGCATCGCTGTCGATTCGCGGTCTGCGTTAGCGGTGGGTGGTGGACGGTGCCCTGTAGGGACCCCTCCAGCACTGGGCTGACTGGGGAATGAGGCACTATGACTAAGGCTGGGCGTCCGCTCAGCGCGGCGGCTTTACCCTGAGGACGTGCCGCTGCAAACGCCGGTTGGACCAGAACGCCAGCATTGGGGACGTTCTGGAGGACAACAGCTTTGTTGAACTTGGTAAAGGATGTAACTGGCCGAACTAGTATTATCACTTGGTAAATATTTATTATCAATCGTGTTTGCATATATCATCAGCCGACTGAGATGCTCTCAATCTTCCTGGTGTTATGAAATGCTCTTTTTACAGTTCTTGACGGGGATTTTCCACCTGCGGGCGGTGTTTCGTTTTTGCCAGCAGCCCTGTCTCTGTATCACTTATACACCGTGGCGACTGAACGCGAACACCCACGTTTTGATTATATGGCAGAAGTCCTGCATTTTAATCCTTGACAGTTTTTCAGTGATAAAAACATGCCTTGTGAACCCAAGGAGGTGAGTCCGTCTGCCTTAACTAGACTGGCATTTATATCAGTGCACGGTAAGGAAAAAGCAGGATTTAAGTTCTCGTTTTCCACGGAGCAGACGTGCTCTTTCCATCGTTTATGGGCACAGTACATGGATGGCGATAGCATTACTCCTGCCAATCTGGTCGGCTTAGGGATGAAGTATCCCCGAACCACGGAGAGGAGACCATTATTAAAGACCGTTTTTCAGACGGACATAACCCATAGCAGCTCACCCCAGATGCAGAATGGAGAGTCAATCAAGCAAGAGGGCTAATACATACAATTATTAAGGAAAGAAGAGGTATGTTATGCATATATTTCACATGTTACATTAAATCTGTATTACTAGGGTAAGTATTGTTAAAATGGGACACCTGTCAAAATGGGACAGTTAAGCTTTGCAGTTAATAAATGTGTCTTAATACTTTATTTTCTCTTCTATATAGTGTTAAGCTTCAGCCCCTCTGCAACTCTGACCAGGATAAACAAATAGAAGATGTGTAGTTGTTTCACATTTGTGATTTTTTTTTTTAAAGGTATGCTCATTTAACATAAAATATTAGTTTTATGCCAGTGCCCCCCCCCCCCCCCCAGGTTGGACGAACTGTTATATCAGCTGACAACCTTCAGTAAGTGTCTCTTCAAGGCTAAGGTGAGCCGTAGGATCTGCTTAATGAACACGTCCAGCCTGCTTCACTCACGCTTATACTTTGCAGGAGACTGCAGGAGAACTTGATCCTGTCTCATGCAACTGATGAGTGAATCCCCCAAGATTCTGGCCCTTTGCTTGAAGCTTGGAAACCCTAGGAACCCATAACTGGTTGCTTCATTTAATTTTAAAACATGAGGAGTGTGGACTCTTAAAGATCTTTGAAGGGTGCTGACCCAAAGCTTTAAAAAATAATAGGTTCTTTTGCTAGCTGGAGCCATATTTAAGATCTTTTGAAGTCAACAGTATCTGTGTACTGTAGGGATGTGTTCAACTTTCCACGGCTGAAATTGCCACCACTGTTTGATTCTCTGTGTACCATTGGACCCAGTTTTGGGTAGCCCACTGAGTCCAGAGCAGACCCAGATGCTGCTGGTTTTAAAGATCAACATGCTGGCCAGGGGCCACAGTGGCATCTCTACGGACACCATCCAGAAGATGATAGAGGCCTTCAGTGGTACTGCCCAAGGCTGCTGAGCCCTTGTTGCCACCACCGTCGTTGCTGTGTGACGTGAGGCATGACCCAGATGGTTGTCTTTGCAGCATCCTGCCTCCCCAGTGTCCCAGAGAAGGTCACTGTGGGGGGTAGTGGAGATCTCGCTCCCCTGGCCCACCTAACCCTGGGGCTGATGGGAAAAGGAATGATGTGGTCCCCCAAGAGTGCCTGGGCAGACGCCAAATATGTGAATGTTGAGAGACCTTAGTCTATTACCTGACATATGACACATCTTAATAAGCACAAAAATCGCCACTGATGTCAGTTATTTATGCTACATACAGTATATGTTAGTGATAGACAAAACTATGCTTCATGAACCATTGGCTGTATTTTTTTACCCCACTAGATGGTGCTCGCTGTTCAAAAAAGGGGTCCAAAATGTTCCCTAAAATAAACCAAGAGCGCCATCTAGTGGGGTAAAAAAAATACAGCAAATGGTTCACGAAGCATATTTTTTCCCATCATTTCAATGTGTTGCAAAGGTATTTTTACTAGGTGATGAAAGCCCATGGACTGACACCAATATCACCGAAACTGAAGTAGGTACTTCAATAAGAAAGCTCCCCCCCCCCAACAAGATCTGCTGGGATATGTAGTTTTTTGAGGTGTGGTGGGTTAAGAACAAAGATTGTTGGTGATTTTGGTGTGCAGGAATTGGCTCTGATTAAGGGGATCCAGCTGATCACATCTCTTGGGGCAGAAGCTGTTGAGATAGGGCAGACCATCGCCAGGCAGGCTGACATCATTGCATCTCTCACAGTGGAGGTGCTACAGAAAACCAGCAAAGCCTTGAAACGTGGTGAGGGAGACCCCTTGTGTCAGATTCTGAAACTACAAAATAAGGTCACGTTAAAGAGTAAAGCAGTTCTTAAAATAGAGGTTAATAATAAGACATTCATTTATAAGTGTTAATCTGGTTTATGACTCTTCCTGTACTGATTTGTTAATATAGAAAACTTCAGCATTGCTGTTGGACTTTAGAAGATTCTAGTTCTCATTCGGCAATTTTAATGTGACAGTTATCTCAGTATTTAAAAGGGGTTTTAACTACTAATCTATATTTGGCATATATAGAAAAATCAGTCTGAACCATTTGAAACTCCTTCGAATTAGGATCCAATATGAATCTTGATTACAGTCAAGATTTTTCTCCAGTTTCAATTGAATTAAATTAGCTGTGTGACTATGAACACTTGTTTTTTTAGATATCTTGTGGATCAAATAGCTAATTTGCATTGTGCTTGTTTGGATTGTCGTAAGTGGGTTAATGGGGGGCATGAAAGTCTACCTGAGGTGGGCCAAGCCATGCCTTAAGTTGAATTACACATTTTTGAGGGTTGGACTCTCTAAGAATTCTTAGCTGTTCCCCTGATTTGTTCTAGATGCATGGTTTTGCTAATGATACCATAGCATTCGTGAAGAGAATCATCTCCACAGAGATGAACAACTCCACCGACAACCTAGTTAACTCCTCATTCTTTCCACAACATCTGGTACCAACTGGGTTGCTGGCTTGTTCTGCACGAACGACCATTGGTGTTCCCGTTTTTGACTCCTAATCCTCAAAGGTTACATTACACCTTGTCCGCTTTAATGCTCCTACGTCACACCTTACTCTTTAACTTACTCTGTATTTGTTGAACGAGGTGAGGTTATTTCTGGGGGGAATTTTCACGGAGAGTACCCAGCCAAGGTGAGAAATTTCTGGTGCTTGTTTCAAATAATCAAAGATTCCCATGTTGTGGTGCACATGGTATGGTGATTGAGGATGTGTGAAGGTGCTTTTTCAAACTGGCGTTCATTCAATATCATTCCACAAGATACATACCCAAAGTTTCTCCGGTAAAATACCTCAGTATTATGAAGGGACAAAAGTGAGGTAAAAAGGTGTCTAATAAGTAACCAAATGCTGCATATTGTATCAATGGTTCTCAACCTTTTTTGCACCAGAACCTAATTTTCACTATGCCACGACCCTATAGGCTTCAGGGTGGTCCGTGTTACTGCCTGTACTCTGGGTTAGTTGACGTTGGCAAATCACCTCTCTGGCTGGCTGTCAGCTTGCACCTGTACGCTCACCCTGTGCTGACCTGGCCTCCGGCAGTGTCGGAGAGCAAGGCGCTGTGCCACCCGGCCTCTCTGGAATCCCTGTCCACCAGCCCTGCCACTGAGGATCACATGTCCATGGGTGGCTGGGCCACCAGGAAGGCCCTTAGGGCGGTGGAACACCTGGAACAAGGTACCAAAGCTGCTGAGTCTGAATTCTCACCGTAACACCAATGACAGTAACTCTCAAACAATGTTACTATTACTGTGTAAAGAGGTTTATTGAGTAGCATTATGGCACTTAACCACTGTGTGCCTGCCCCCCCACCTGGCCCTGCGTATGTCTGCACATCTTCCTTGTCTTTGCAGTCCAAAACGTGCTGTTAGGTGACTTGTGTCTCTAAGTTGTGCGTCATGTGCAATTCTGCATGTGTATGCAGTTGGTTAGTATCCTGCCCTGTGCTTCCTGCAATAGAGCATAGAAGATGGTTATTGTATGTATGTGTGTATCTATCTATGTATCCATCCATCCATCCTTTAACTGATTATCCTGGGTTTGAGTTGTGGGGGGGCTTGAAGTTTATCCCAGACAGCATGGGGCACAAAGCTGGGAGACACCCCAGATGGGCTGTTCTGGTATTATACACTATTATAAAAATATATTTTGGTCAGCACCATTCAAAACCCCATGTCTGCTCCTAATAGTTCTGGCCATTGCGTTGCTCACTGCCTGCCAGGGCCTGGAGCTCAGCAGACCCAAGAAGACCACTGGCCCACTGGAGCATGTCTACAACTTGGTTCGCTCGTCAGGTGACGCTCAGTGTAAACATTAGGCTTCCAGTGAGACTCCTAAACATGCCATATTTAACATTTTTAACCCTTAATTTTAGTTTTAAATCTTAGTCATTGTCAACCAATTTTAAATACAGAGCTGACTGGACAAGATGTTCGTTGCCAACCAGTGCTTTTTTAAACTAACGAAAACCCGTGAAGTGGCCAATGGGAACTGCCTGCATAAGGTATTTCCGACCCACGTGACTTTGCTATCCAACCTGATCGACTTCCGTTATCTCTTTCTTTCCCATAATTCTCTGGGGTTTTGTAGTTTATTGACGTGGAACGGTAACTGTTGATAACTGATGAGAGCTGGGATTTGTAACAGGTAAGTCAGGCGTGAGTTTATAACATAGTTTAACGTCAGTGTATTTGTACCTAACGCCTAATATTGTTTTTACCTTCGTGCGAGTATCGTCTTGCATTTCTGTAGCACTGTCAGGACGGTTTCGTTTTTAAATAGTCAGGTTAGGTTATCCGTGCAGTTAGCGAATGTGTAAAAGCTGTAATGAAAGCGCCATTTTTAAATCTAGAACTTACTGAGGGAAACGACACTTTAAAAGAATGATATTTGCACATCATGTAGATATTTTGTAGACGTTTTCGGTCGTATCGTCTGCACTGTCCCTTTCATGATTTAGCTTTCCGGGAACATTAGACCGTTAAATTCGTTTAACAACGTAGTTATGTGGTTAACGATTGAATCTGCTCTTTACAACTTTATGATTAACTGATTTGGACCGGATGAATTTCTTTGAAAATACCTAAATATGGATATAAAAGGCTGTTGTTCGTTGTGGATAGCGCATTTCAGTTGCCCGGACAACAGTGCTGTGAAACAGAGGACTGGCTCTAACCCCCCTAACAGGCTAGTTTTTAGTTTATTTCCGTAATTAAAACAAAAAAAAAATAATAAAAAAAACGTTCCTTCGTCACGTTTTTCGGTGTGTGAAATATTATTAAAGCTACTTCAGTGCTGGTAATTGACAGAATATTCAGTAGGACAACTGATTGCATATAATCAAAGACAGCTATCTCTTCCTACCACTCACCAGCGTCAAGTGGGAGCAAATCACTGGGGACATGGCAAGCCGCCACACTGGATGTCAGCTCGTCATGACCTTCTTCCTGTTTGTTACATCAGTATCACTGTTAAAATCAAATTAATATTTGAAGCAATTTACATATTGGGTTTTCTGCTACTGGCGGTTACTGCCTTTGAAGTTAAAACCGTGCTGTATTTAATTTAACATCTGGTGCATCGCTGCACCAAATCCCTAGCTAATTAATGTTGGCAGGTCATTTTTACTGAGAGGTTTTTTCCCCAAGAGCTTTTGTTGTTTTAATCACCCAAGGTCAAATTGTTTTGAAGATTCCTCATTCTGCAGCTTGGTGTTTTGCATCAGATGTGTTGAGCCTTTTGGGAGGACCCTGGCTGGGAGGAGTCCTCTTCGGGGGAATCCTCAGGGCAACCATGAATCCTGACCTGGCAACGTCTGCATCCCTCTTCCGGAGCCTTGAGCTTGGGACCGGCAAGCCTGGATCCCTCCCAGGGGTCACGTCCCTGGCAGGGGTCGAAACGGAGCTTCAGAAGATGCTCATCGATGAGAGGATGAGGTGTGAACACCACAAGACCAACTACCAGACCCTGAAGGTGGAGCACACCAGGTACTGCAGCTGCTCTCTCGTGGTCGGACGTCTGGCTCTCCACTTCCACGGCTCATCCTGTAGGCCTCCTTTAGTTGGTTCTGCACCTCTTCTCGTGCACCGCCAGGTCTCCTGTGCATTTATTGGGCATCGCCTCTTAAAATTAATAGTCCAAGAAATATCAGTATGTTTTCTATTCTATGGCTATTCTCTTAGCTGAATGGCAAAAAATCGGTAATACCATGCTTTATGTTTCTTCTTTGTCCTTTAACACATCTATTCAGTAAGAGAATTTGTTTTACCTGTGATACTTTTACAATGCTGTTCTTGTGGTCACAGATCAGCAGACACTAACAGTATAAAGCCCTGTAGTCTATGAATATGGATTAATTTGTCATTGTGAGTGCTTTGTGTGCGTGTCTGTTACCCTCAAATGTGTGGCTTTGTGATACGTAGGCTGCAGGATGAGTTTACCCGGGGACAGAGTGAGGTAAAGCGTCTGCTCTCCGAGAAGCAGAACTCCCAGGAGCAGATGCAGATCTTGCTAGCTGAGCTGCGGGGGGAGCTGCTGGACAAAACCAGGGAGCTAGAGGAGCTCAAGCTGCAGGTAAAGAGCCGCATTTCTGGGCTATCTGATGCCCCCCCCCCCCCTACAATCCCCAATTTCGACTTCATGCTCTTTTATTGTCAGAACAGCAGGTGGCGCTGTAAATAACTGGAATAATGACTGGGAGCATCTAGACTTAAGCCCCAGAAGGAGCCTTCCTGTTGGGTTAGGAATAATCCATTTCTTCCTGAAGTACATGGTGGCTCATTGGGTAGCATTTCCACCTCATACCTCCTGGCTTGAGGCTTCGAATTCTGTCATATTGCCCGATTCTTTCTGTATCTCAAAGACTTGCAGTTAGATTACAGCTGGGTATTGGCACAGTTACCCCAATTTCGATTCACAACCTAATGATTTGCTTCCGATTCAGTTTCGGTTTGATAGGAATGAGATATGAAATGGAGAAAGCTCTAAACGGAACAATAATTTACAAATGCAGACTCAGCAGAGACAAATTGTGAAAACCACTAAAGAAAAGGTCAAAGGCTTGTACCAAAATCTTATTTCAGGAACATATGGGGTGTAGTTCCTTAAAAACATAACCACCCTGTCCATTTCAAAACACAAAAACGACCTCTGGAGGGGATCCTGCATCGAGAGCTTTTTGAGAGTCCAGAGACACCTGCAGCTTCATTATGAAGCAGTTTGCTGCTTAGTAATGTTTCTCTCCGAGCTGCCCTGTTTAAAGCATTCATTTGTCTGGCTGAAACTTTCCTCAGCTGGACTTTATCTGAAATTGTTTGTGCTTTGAATTACAAAAAGATCTTGTAACAGTTCAATGTTCTCCCCAGTTTTGTGAAACGTCACTCGTCATGCCTTTCGCAAGCCATTACGCTGTTTCACGCTTTTCTGCTCCAGAAAGGCCGTCTTCCCCATGCTACATGTGAACTGTGGCTTGCTTAATAATGTGGAATACTCTCTTTAAGTAAATTTCCCTTCAATGAAGATCTGACAAACATTCACAAACCTCTGGGCTTGACACCAGTTATTTAAAATGACACAAAAAATAAAATGGGCAAAAGCTGTGATTTACAAACTAAAAATTAAATGCTTATTTTGATTAAATCCTTCCGATATGTCATTTGCATAATAGCGTAGGTAATGTTAGGTGTCTGCTAACAACAGGGTAAGTGTAATGTTAACTATCGGTGGCATGTGAGCTGCAGTGATGATTAAGTTGCCTGACCAGCAAAGGGCAAATATTTCAATCAACAGTTCAGACGTTTAAGTGGCACCACAGTCTGCATTGTAATACGGTTTAGTACAACCCTGTGCTTAACCATTGCGGAAATGAACCTAGAAAACTGGAAAAAATGCATATTAGTCTGAAGGACTTTGTGGCAGTTCTGTATTTGACATTTCTGGTTTTGTGGTACTGACAGGTCCTGAGCCCCCAGAAATTGGAGCTTTTGCGATCTCAGATACAGCAGGAGCTAGAAGCACCGGTCAGAGACCGCTTCACCCAACTGGAGGAGGTGTGTCCTTACGCTGCACTCCGCATGTCATAACTAACTCTGTACAGCAGGGGGCACTGAAGTTTAGATTGGAGTTCTGGAGAGTTTTAGTGATGTAAGGTAACCAATAAGCCCACTGTTTGGAACAGGATCCCTCTCCACTACAGTAAGCCCCATCTTCAGGTTCTTCATTCCCTGTCTTGTCTCAGCCCTGTTGGGTCACTCCCACCACAATGCATGTCCCCCTCTTCATAGGAAGCAGAGAGGTATAGGTCAGAGTTTAACAGGGTGCGGTATGACTACACCTTCCTGAAGTCCGAGTTCGATCACCTGAAGGAGGAACACGCCCGCGAGCTGGACGATATGAGACTCCGCCTGGATGCTGAGGTTGGTCTTGCTGGAGTTTCCCTCAACATCAGACTCTACCTGCTGCCTTCTTTGCTTCATGACAACCGTGTCCGGCTGTATGCGGTGACCCCAGGTAAGCCGGTTGGAGAGGGACAAGGAAGACCTGAGTGCCAGGCTCCTGAGCTCGGACCCCGAGCGGGACGGCAAGCGAGTCGAGGCACTGCTGCGCGAAAAGGCCCAGCTACACCTGCGGCTGAAGGGCCTGGAAGCGGAGGTGGCCCAGCTGCGGGCCGAGAGGGACAACTCTGGCATGCAGGCCAAGAACGTGCAGAGAGTCCAGCTACGGCAGCTGGCCGAGTCCCAGGCTGCGATCAAGGTCCTGGAGGTACAGGCGGTTTTTACTTTTGTGTTAAAATAGAACGGCGTGTGTTTCTAAGAGTGATGCACGAGTTGTGAAAGAGTCCTGAGGATTACAATTAAAATCCACACGTTCCAGGTGGAAAATGTGCCTCCCTCCCCCCCTTCCCCCTCCAGGCTGAGAAGCAGTCCCTGCGCATTCAGCAGGACAGACTGGATGGCGAACTGCAGCTGAGCCAGGAGCAGAGTGGACTGCTCACCGCGCGCCTGCACAAAGCGGAGAGGGAGGTCAGCGCTCTGACCAGCCAGGTGGGTCTAAGGTCAGCGGGCGGCCAGTCAGAACCCATGCAGGAAGATGTTTCGATTTTAGGGTTAAATGTTTCTCAGTGGCTGGGATTGCATAGTGACGTGTGTCCAAATCGAGGGAAGGCAGCACTACCTGGCCTTCCTCCCTTTCCTGGGGAGCTTAAGTGTGGGACACACCGGCTGTGGCGTGGGCTCCGGGGATGCAGAAGGTGTTGATTTTCATTTTGGCGCCTATGTTAATGGCTTTGAGCAGCCTTACTGCCTGAGTGAGACACTCCTAAGGTACGTCATCCAGAGAATTTTGTGGCATCTATTATTCATGTATGTGGTAAGCAGTTCTTGGCAAAAAATAATCAGTTAACAGATCCGTTGATAGTCAAACTGACATCATATCAGCAACATTACATAACTGATACTTCATACTGTAGTTTCAATGTTTAGCCAATTCAGCATTGACATACCACAGAGGCCAATCTGTTCTGACGCGGTTGACATATTGGTACCCAAGTCCGATACATCATAC